CCCTTAACTGTACCCCACAATATCATAATAAAAAAATATTGGTTATAATAAATAAATAAATAAATAAAAACACCACTCAGTGCTTTTTGAACAAGTACTGCAAATATTTGAGGTAAGTCTTAGCAAAAATTGGGTACTCGTACCAGGTATTTCCTATTTATTGTTTTTTCATTTATTTTTCATAATTAAGCTAAATTCACAAGAGGAATGCTTGATAGGTTAAACACAATTCCAGCTGCAATACATTCTGAGTCACAAACTGTGGAAGGCACCTGGTTGAGTGATGACATCAATCAAATTTTTCTGGATCAATTTGCAGTCAAGCATTCTCCTAAACCTGTCTGATGTTTTGGCAAGACGCTTGAAAGGACTCACTAAAAATTTATTAGTGTAGCTTGAAATAGTTCCTTTCTTCGCCCCTCCATTCTCTAGCTCAACAAAGAGAATACTGTTTGCCCTCTGAACATACAAATTTTATAGTTTATGTAGTAAGGGATATGTTGCCAAGAATCATAGTTTTTAATGAGCCCTTATTAAAACCATTGCTGTGCTTTAGCTTTCATTATAAGTATTGCACTTTTTTAAAATTTGGAGTCTCACTCTATCACCCAGACTGGAGTGCAGTGGCTGCTCCCGGCAGGGAAGACACCATGATCAAGTACTGCATTTTTTAAAAACTCATTCTATCTAAATCAGACTGACTTTTGAAATTAAAGCATCACTTGAATATTGCCTTGAAAATATATTGTGTCTCACTTGGTATCTTTTTTTCAAAGAGTTGAACCTAAGTAGTTCAACTAATTGATGCATTGTTGAACACATGCAACATGGAAACTTTTCAAATAGAATTCCCACAACTACCAAAGAGCATGTTACTCTCTTATATAATGATTTAAGCAGGATATAACTTTGAAAGACTTAGTATTAAGACACTAATTTAAGTTTCAGAAGTATTATCTTGGCCATATCCACAATCCCAAATGAAGAGCTTTGGAGGTTAATATATATCATGGATTTAAGACTCTCTGGTTTGCAGAAGAAACAAAGCATTAACATTTCTGCTGAGACCAGGAAAGGGTGAACTTTTATGCCTCCAGTTCTGTATCTAAGAAAAAGCTGCTTCTACTGATCCTGAAGTATCAGATAGTTAACCCAACTTTTCCTTACAGATGAAATATGATATAAATGGTGGTGGCATATTTATTAAGAATATTTTTCCAAACTGTGTCCTTTTGAGAATATTTTGTGAATAAGGTAATAAAAGTGAGTTTTTATTCCTTTGTATCACAGTCTAATTAATATGATCTCATTTATTTTCTCCTATGATATTGAGACCTTAGGCTAAGTTTTTGTCTCTCAAAAAAAAAAGAAAAAATGTTAAATCATAGAAAAAATAAAATAGTGGGAAGCTAAATGAGATATTAATTGGTAAAAGTGACCTTGATTTGCTGGATTTTGGATTATTGCACCTTTTTCCTGCTTTTTGGTAAGGGGTGTCACCTTTTTCATTTGCAATTTCTGTTGCCATCTCTGACCAAATTTACTGTGTTCCATGTTCTTAACTGAAATAAATGGGCATGTGGGTAGCTTTCCTATATTTAAAAGACAACAACTCAGGCTGTAAACACTGTCAGCAAATTATTACAAAATAAAAACTTACACATGATTCTGCAATTAAAGCTTATCAGAGAATTATGAGAATTTTTCAAAGAGTTCAGAATCTCTGGTTTAGATAATTACTGCAACATTACAAAACCAATAGCCACAGAATTAGAAATAGAAATTAAATGTAAAGATACATGCATTAATTCAAAGAGGACTATGTTTTGGATAAAACAATTATTAAGGAAATTTTAAAATGATGTTTCCTTGTAATTAAAAATATATGCTAGAATGTGAAGTAAACAAGTGCTTTGAATTCTACACCAATCATTAAGCCACTTGTGTTTTCCTGTGTGATGTCCTACAAATGACAGGAAATGTCAGAGGAAACATAAAGATATCATTAAATAAATTTGCATTTACAATTACATGTAAACTAACAAGAAATTGACTTATATGAAGAAATAACTTTAAGAACAATTTTCTCATACGAATTTTCAACTCTATAAGTATTAAGACTCATATTTTGAAATAATTTATCAAAAACTTCTAACTCAATGTTATCACAGCCTATAAATATTCTTTTTCTTTTTTTGAGTTGGAGTCTCATTCTGTCACCCAGACTGGAGTGCAGTGGCTGCTCCCAGCCACGGCAGTCTCGACCTGCTGGGTTCCGGCGATCCTTCCGCCTCAGCCTTCCAAGTAGCTGGAACTACAGGCACTTGCTACCACACCTGGCTAATTTTATATTTATTGTAGAGATGAGCTCTCTCC